GTTAGAGAGATCTGGGTGAATAATACAATGATGCAATAATAGAGAGGGAAGATCTTAAATAAGCAACTAAGAGGAATTGCTGATGGTTTTCTGTGTCTCTAAACTAATTCACAAAATATAAGAAATAAACAAGATGGACTTGAACTCTTAACACACAAATAAAATACAATATATTAAGCAATACTGAAACCTGGTAAAATGAGTCTCATGATTGGAATGCAGTAACATAGGAGTATAACCTATTTCAAAAAATAGATCAAACAAGGTAGAAGAAGCAGCATTATAAGTCAATCATGATTACAAAAAACAAAAAAAATTGTCAACAAGGAGAAATGTAAGGTATTACACCAGCAGAAAAAAAATAAAATGCACAGATATTGCATCAGTGACAGCTGGCTTGAAAAAAATACATATGAAAGGGATTTAGGAACTTTAGTAGGCCATAAGGTATCAACAGTCAAAATGTGTTGCAGTAGCAGAAAGAAACCAATACAATTCTAGGCAGCATCAAAAGGAGTATAGTGCCAAGATCAAGGAAAGTAATATTATCACTCTATTCTGCTTTTGTCAAACCTCACCTGAAATACTCTCTAGTTCTAGTCACCCTAATTCGAAAAGAATATTGGCATGCTAGAACAAGTCCAGAAAAGGGCAACCAAAACATTTAAATATGTGAAAAACATACCCTATAATCAATGGCTTAGGGAGATGGGTATGTTTAGTTTGGAGAAGGTTGATTGCATGATAGCCATGTTTAAATATTTGGTAGGTATTGAAGATGGAGTGGGTTTGTTTTTTTGTTTTTTGTTTTTTTGCTTCTCCAGAGAATGGGACATGGAGCACTGGATTCAAACTATAGGAAAAGAGATTTAGAAAAGATATGACTAAGTCATATCCAATGTGGTTCAGTGGTTTGAGTGTTGGACTAGAACTTGAAGAGGACTTTAATCCCTGCTCAGATGTAGAAACCTTGGGTACGACGTACTTTCTGTTCCAGAGGAAGGCAAAATGCAAAACTCTTTGGAGCAAATTGTGCCCAGAAAATCCTGTGATAAGGTGGCCCTAAAACAAAACTAATTTGGAAATTACTTGAAGGCACACAGTTACAACACTTAATTCAAATACCAAGAGACCAAAAGTCTTATGGCACCTCAAAATGTAATATTTACTTTAGCATAAGGTGTCTGAGACATGACAACAGATTATGACTGAATTTTCTAACTGCTTCATCTTTGAAATTGCTGGTAGGTTTGTTTAATCTAGGGGAGAATGGGTGCTCTCACATTGGCATTGAGGGGAAAGAATTATCATTTCAGTTTAATACACAATTCCTTTTGTGAAACGTCTGTCCATATGTAGCCAAAAGGATTATCCAATGACTCTGGAACCTTTGGAATTTGCTAGCCTCCACAAAGGTAGATTGCTAGATTCCCATTGAGTGGATATTTTCATGCCTGAAGCATGCACCTGTTTCCTCTCCACATTTTGTTTTTAAAATCCTGTATAAATTGTCCCAACTCTCTATCTCAATATTTACAAACATTCTATTTGAAGGAATGTCAACTAACCCTGCCATACAGATCGCACAATGACCTGATTCACCTAGACGAGAGAAAAACAAGACCCCTTTTTAGACTTCCACGAAGAAACAGAGGGATACTTGTTATACTGTGCATGTGCTAGATTCAAAAATTTGGATCAACAATGGTAAAATAATAATAATAATAATTATTATTATTATTATAATGAACCAGTGCCATCAAAACCAGAATTGAAAAGTCAGCGACAGATCCCAAGTGTAGACTCTGCAAGGAAGCAAATGAAACAATAAATCACATCCTCAGCTGCTGCAAGAAGATCGTGCAGACAGACCACAAGCAAAGGCATAACACCGTTGCTCAGATGAGTCATTGGAACTTGTGCCACAAATACCATCTGCCTGCGACAAAGAACTGGTGGGATCACAAGCTGGAAAAAGTTACAGAGAATGAACAAGTCAAGCTACTCTGGGACTTCCGGATTCAGACAGACAGATTTTTGGAGCACAATACTCCTGACCTTACAATCGTGTTAAAAAACAAAGTATGGATTGTCGATGTTGCAATCCCAGGTGACAGCAGGATTGAAGAGAAACAACTGGAAAAGCTGACACGATATGAGGATTTAAAGATCAAACTGCAAAGACTCTGTGATCCAATACAACAGCAAGCAGACAAACCAGTCAAGGTGGTCCCAGTGGTGATCGGCAAACTGGATGCAGTGCCTAAAGACCTTGGCCTGCACTTAAACACAATCAGCACTGACAAGATTACCATCTGCCAGCTGCAAAAGGCCATCTTACTGGGATTTGCACGCATTATTTGCCGATATATCACACTGTCCTAGACACTTGGGAAGTGTCCGACGTGTGATCCAATACAACAGCAAGCAGAGTGTCTGCTGTGGACTCATCTTGTGGTGTTTCAAATAACAATAATAATAATAATAATAATAATAATAATAATAATAATAATAATGTTATTTATATTCTGCTCTATCTCCCCAGAGCGACTCAGGGCAGATTCCAAACATAAAAAGCAAACATTCAATGTCCGAATACAACAACAATATATCCATACTAACAAAATTTAAACAACCGAACACATAAACACTTAAACAACTACAATTAAATTTAAAAACGCGGCCTGTTATAACAGACATAAGACAAAGCATCAAACATTGATCAGAAACAACAATTTCCCAGTTCCTTGGGGCAACTAGATTGATCATTGCTCAAGATATCTATTGACCTGGTGGGGCGAGCAGAGCACGGATACGGATAGTAGCTATTAATCACAGGTGTAATGGCAAAACATAATACATAATAAAACAAAACACTAGTCAAGAATAGAAAAAACAAATGATTGAACAGCAAAATTCAGAAAGATTATTGTTAAATGATGTCTATGATCAGGCAAGAAACATAGCCAGGACTCAACAAACCTAAGATGAAGCAAAGCATCATATTAGAAGATGTGGTGAAATCTAGATAAAACAGGGAAGAAAGCACAGTAACCTGTCAAATTAGGGAATTGAGGATGAGTTGTTAAATGGACACGGCATGGTAGAACAGAACTGAGAATGGAGCAAATACAGTGTTGAAAGCAAACTCAGGGTTCAAGGCAGGTCATCCATCACCCTGAGGACAAAGTCCAATACTGAAACTAAGAGCAGATATTGACACAAATTTTAACTCACAGAATCACTATGGATGGTTCAGAAAACTTATAAATGGGCTGACACAAAGCAAAAAATGTTAGAAGTAATCTGCAGAAATACAAGCAGCAATCACGGTAAGATTATCAAAGGGTAAGAGCATCACATTCTCTCTGAGCCAGCTTCAGAGAATTCTGTATGCTCCATTGGAGAGTATAGGATGGAACATGTAAGAAAGGGAACCTTAAACATCCGTGCTCTGGCTCCCCTTCGAGGTTAACACAGAAGTGCGGACTATCTTTATCAACTATATACAAGGAGAGAAAGTGATTAAAATACTATGTTAGGGGGAAAAACATGACAATTTATTTTCAGGACTAATCGCCTGGCAAACAAACGGGAAAGTTCAATGAAAGGGCAGTGCCAAAAGCATGGAGACAGACATAAAAATACTGTCAAGCTTCCGTCAATTCACCATTCAGCACATGGCAAAAAAGAGCTGAGCTGCTCTGCTTTGCATCAACCATATACAAGAAGGATTAAAGGTCATAAGTGGTTAATCCAAGACTGCAGATGAATGAGCAAGAAGTTCTATAAACTCCAATTGTGGTTTTCACTTCCAAGGCGATGAATGCTTCATCACAGAGTTGAACAAATTCTGCTGATGAGGCAGTCTAAGCATTTTATTTTTTACAAGGCAAATTACAAAATGGCAGGGGATTCAACCTGAAATAGACAGATTTCTTCCTCCAGTGAGACAAATAACACAATACAGCTTAAAATGAGGTAAATGTTTTATCATCTCAGTAACTGAAAGGACATGAGGAAATTAGGACTAATTTTTCTGCAGTGAATAATACAATTCTTACTAAAGCATGAACAAGAGAATTAATAAATTGCACAGGGGAATTTTAAGCCCAGAAGTACTTTTTCCTCCTTAATCAAAACGTCACCTTATTTTTTCAGTCTAAAGAACCTCCTTGTGATTCAATAGCTGACTAGAATCTTTTGAATTCATATATAATTTGAAATAACTTGTGACAGATCAGCAGGAGGGATCACACACTGCTGTGTGCATTTGTAGCACATCTTTGTGAGAGAATCATTCAAGAGGTTGAAAGCCATGATAAATAGGCCATGGTCATGAGATGGTGTCTAACACAAGAAAAGTTGTCTTGCTAGATTAGACTAACGTTACATCTTTTCCAGAATTTTATTTCCCAAATGACTTCATTTCCAACAATCAAAATTGCCCCTTTTAGTTTTTACAAGTAATTTGTGGCTAGCCTAAATTAAGCACAACACTAAAGAGCAACCATTGGAACTCTTCATAAACTATTATAACTGGCAAGCATTGTTGCAAATGTTATTATTACTATAAATGCAGCATCTAGAGCAGGCATGGCCAAACTTCAGTCCTCCAAGTGTTTTGGACTGCAATGCCCACAATTCCTAACAGCCTACATTAGGCTTTTAGGAATTGTGAATGTTGTAGTCCAAAACACCTGCAGGGCTGAAATTTGTCCATGCCTGACCTAGAGGCAAGAGGATATATCTTTGCTTTCTGGAGCAGAGACTCTTGGAAGTGCCACTGCTTCTCCAACACAGCCTGGGCTTCCATCCTTGGTTTCTCCTGGCCTATCCATCATGGTTTTCCCGTCAGATGTAACAGCCACTCTTTGAAAGCAGCATTTACCACTCAGAATTTCCTGCTCATTAGATTGTCGTTGAAAGAAGATGCACCATTGCTTAAGAACAACTATAAGCAACCCCAACATTCCCTTAGAGCATAAAACTCTACTCACCTTTTCTCCCTGAATTACCCTGTCCTACTGGCCGGTCAGTTACAGAACCTTTTAAAAAAAGGAAACAAACAGGTTTGTAGCTGAGGATACTACAAGAGCAAAATATTCATAGACACCACCTCAAAGTCCAGCCAAGTCTCAGATACCATGTTCTAAAATAGTATCCAGACAACTGTCCCTACACGTCCAGTCTCCAAAGCTGTTGTTGCTTTCCCCGTCAGCATTGTACTGAGCCAATCATTTTCTGGATACAATTTGAAGTAAATAAGGCAACTCACTGCAAAAAAAAGGTAGAGAGAAAGGAGTGCACACACATATGAAAGCTGTCTATGTGACCTGATGGAAAGGTTTCCATCAGGCTGTCCAACACCCACCAAGGAATTATGTTACAGAATTGATTTGGGTCGAACAGAATGAGGGTAAATTATTTCAGGTTTGGACAGAATACCAGCTTGCTGTTCATTGTCTGCCACTGAAAGTAATTTCTGAGGTCTGATGTAAGCCATATAACTTATTTTATTTCTAATTATTTCTGGGAAGAAATCCAGCAATATTCTCACCAACTTATGACAAACAATAAATCGAATGAACCTTCATTTTGTCTTTAAGGATGAAAATACTACTAAGGGTGTATCTAGACTATAGAACTAATACAGCTTGAGACCACTTTAACTGCCATGATTCAATGCTATAGAATCCTGGGAGTTGTCGTTTTACAAGGTTTCTAGGCTTCACTGTCAAAATGTTCTGGTGCCTCACCAACTACAAATCCCACGACTCCATAGCATTGAACCATGGCAGTTAAAGTGGTTTCAAGCTGCATTAGTTCTATAGTATAGAAACACCTAAGGACAGAATCAAAAGGTTCTATTTGAAAATATCTTCAGCCTGATGTCCCAAGAGCTGTGTACCACAAAGCGGCAACTCACTTGTACCAGATATCCAACAATGAGAATTATAATTTAAAACTTGGTCTTGGCCAAATTCAGAGCAAATTCATAGTGTTATTTTCTTTCCCCTTTTTCATCTGATGGTTAGATGTATTTGCAGCATTTAAAGAAACAGAAGGAATTAAAGGACGGCTCTCAAACAGCACTGAAAATTATCTGGCCACAAGATGGAGCAGTTATGGCCACTTCAGATTCCTATGGGAAAAAAAGCTAATTCTAAATTACTAGGATACAATCAGAAGTTTTTAAAGTAAAAAAAAAATCAAAATGCTTGTTTCCCTCTACCACCATCCACAATATTTCTGCATCAAAACAAACAAACAAACAAACCATTTCTTCTTCCTTAGTACCTGAACATACAGGAGTTTTGTTCTGTACAGAAGACCCACTGATGGGTTTGCCATCTGGAGTTACACACCAACAGTATCCAGTATAGGTATGGCACTGCACCTGTTGGGAAAAAACAAAACTTACTAGTCACTCATTTCTCAGAATTCAGCCTCGTGTGTGTGTGTGTGTGTGTGTGTGTGTGCGCGCAGCAGCTAAAGGGAGCATGAGAACTTGTGTGCTAGCAAAGGGATCATCCTGTTAAAGAAATAAATATTTGCTGATAAAATACCTTTTTTTCCGATGAATTTTAAATTATTTAACCACATCCAATAATTGAAAGAAAAAGATATTTCATGCTTTTTCATACTACCAGTTGCACTATCTTCCCTTTGTATGCATGATTATATATATTAATGCATAATATGTCAGAAAACCCTAATCCTAACAAACCTATTTGCACAAATTAAAAAATGTGGTCAAAATATCAGACATGACTCATATTTTACCTGTTCCAAGAGATTATACTGAATATAGTTCACATTGTACTGAGTGCTTGCCATTGTGCATTGAGTGCTTCTTTATTCTCCAAAGTTGAAACTGATTTGTGAACATTTATAATGACTTAATCTTTCACTTTAGAAAAACAAAGTGCTTGCGCTCAATCATCCACAGAACTTCAGATGGAGAGAGCTGAGGAGTCCAAGTACAAGGAGGACTTAGCGACATTACTCAGGAAGAGAGAAGAAATTTAAGAAGATACTCAAGATCAGGACCTTACTGATACTCTAGTGCTGCATTTCTCAACCTGGGGGGGTCGCAAGGGGGAGTTCCAGAGGGGTCGCCAAAGACCATCAGAAAACACCTATTTCTGATGGTCTTAGGAACCCCTTTGGCAGAGTAGGCTGAAGATCTCTTCCCCTGTCCTTCTATTCCTTTTTGGAAACAGACAGTGAATCCTCCCTCCAAAAGCCCTCCTCCTGCTGTGATTGCCCCCCCCCCCCAGCCAAGGAGAAGGCTGTTTCTGAGAAGCCAAGCGGGGGATGGGAAAGCAGGCATACAATCACTATCAATTCCTCCCAAACCCCTCCAGTATTTTCTGTTGGTCATGGGGGTTCTCTGTGGGCAGTTTGGCTCAATTCTATCATTGGTGGGGTTCAGAATGCTCTTTGATCCCAGCAACTACAACTCCCAAATGTCAATGTCTATTTTCCCCAAACTCCACCAGTGTTCACATATGGGCATATTGAGTATTCATGCCAACTTTGGTCGAGTGAATGAAAATACATCCTGCATATCAGATATTTACATTACTATTCACAATAGTAGCAAAATTACAGTTATGAAGTAGCGACAAAAATAATGTTATGGTTGGGGGTCACCACAACATGAGGAACTGTATTAAGGGGTTGCAGCATTAGGAAGGTTGAGAACCATTCTAGTGGGAGGTTGATCATTTCAAATGACTACAAACCTCAGTTACCGTTGCAGTGCTTCCTTCTGCTGAGATCCATGTGACATCTTGGTTGGACAGCTCCTCTTGTTACATCAAGAACTGTGCTACAGTTCTGCACACTAAATCCCTAACCTTGTCAAACCTCACATGAATGTTTGTGGAAATAGTGGAGGACACCTTCTCCAATAAAGAAATAATTTAACAATTCATAAAGCACTGTGAAAATAAAACCAGGTACAAGATAAAAAGGAGTATTTTGATAAATATTAGATTAGAATAATTATGAAATGAAGACAAACAGAATATAGACTCTGTGATTATTACCAAAGTAAACTAAGTGCAGAAAAAATTAAAGTAATAAATCTCCTGGACACAGTAGATTAATTTAAACTATGACACTTTTGCAAAATCCTTCACTGGAGCAGCTAATAAAATCCATATGAAAAGATATTATCAAGAACATTAGCAGTGGAAAAACCTACAGCCACATGAAATTCCCTTATATTGAGTCATGTCCTTGGCCACTTAAAGTACTATCCACTTTGATGGGCAGTAGTTTGCTAACATCTACCTGCAAATCATACACTACAGATAGTAAAGGTACCCAAAGCACAAACCACTTTTGAATTCTACTTTGGAAGAATGGTGGAATATAAGTGAAAAAATAGATAATAAAACAAACAAGGGAAATGGCTGGTGTGCACTCTAATTGACTAATTTCCTTGTTAAAATATAAACAGCATTCTAATAATTAACAGTTTACCAAACAAATCACCAGTATCAGTATGTAATGATATGTTCAAAAAACCATTATTATCTGTAGAGAGGAATTAGCAGCTTTGGAGGACAGGAACAGGCCTTTTGATGACAATGTGAAAAGCATTTTTTTGTCAATTACGTCCTTGTTGCCTTTATTTCTTGCCCATATCCAATTCCTCAGTTTTGCCACATATTCAGAATAACTAGTAATAGTACAAAACATTCCCTAAGTGCCCAAATGCTTAAATACATTAAATTTCATGGACTTTATTGACACAGGACAACTACATACCCAGACAATTAAAACTGGCATGCAAAAAAGTGAACCAGTCTGCATGGGGTTGCCTCTGAAGATGCTCAGAAGCTCCAGCTAGTCCAACGCTTGGCAGCCAGGTTGTTCACTGGAGTGAGGTACAGTGAGGTCCTGTGTTACACCAGCTCCACTGGTTGCCTATTAGCTTCCAAGCACAATTCAAAGTGCTGGCTTTAACCTATAAAGCCCTAAACAGTTCCGGCCCAGTTTACCTATCCAAACATATCTCCCTCTATGAACTACCAAGGATGTTAAGATCATCTGGGGAGGTCCAGATCTCAGTCCCACCTCCTTCTCAGTCACAATTGGTGGGAAAGAGACACAGGGCCTTCTCTGTGGTGGCCCCTCGGATATGGGATGCCATCCCCAATGACATTAGATCTGCCCCCTCCCTCCTGACCTTTAGGGAAAAAAACTTAAATCCTGACTTTGGGATCAAGCGTGCAATAGTTGGATCAACCAGGAAGAGAATGTTTTAGTAGACCACAAAGGACTGATTTGGATAATGTTTTGAACTGGTGTACTGTTTTTAATTGATTATAATTGTTCTAATTGTGTGAACTGTAACTATGTTTTTAATGTATTTTGTCTGGCATCTAATTGCTGCCTTTTGCAAGCCATCCTGAGTCCCTCTTTGGAAGTGAGAAGGATGGGATATAAATGCCTGAAATAAATAAATAAATAAACCATAAATAAACCAACGTCATATTATAGATGGAGGAGTGGTAAAAAGTAGTCTGCTTAAAGCCATCTTTGTGGCTGAATTAAAACGGATGCACCATAGCTCATAATTCACTGATGTAACCACTGTACTACATAAGCTCTTTGTAAAATAGCTAACAGGGTTTCTACATACATTTTTATACAGCAAACCAAACATGACCACTCTATCCCATAAGAAGCTGTGTTACTTTCTTCTTTTTATCAAATTTGGATGAAAACACATCAAAATTTTTGTTCAACATGACAAAATAGTAAGAAAGATTTGTACAACAGAACTGCTCTGTCACCATTCCCCAAATTAATTAGAAATGCTATTACATCCCTCTCTCCTATGTCAGACACATCAATTACAGTGTGTGAAACAGAACAAAAGCCAACACTTCAGACACTGGGCCCTTGAATAAATTCCTGCATCCATAAAAATCATTAGAATATGAAAACATTAAAACTGTAGCCACTGGCATGCTCCTCTGGGAGAATGGGAGCTTTGTTGGGGTCTGTTCAATTCCTCACTGAAGATGCCAGAATGAAGTTTCAAAGGACTACATAAACATTTTAACAAGCTGGCAGGATTGTCCATTATAACTTGACAGAGGCAAATCAAGGGGTTATTTGTTTCCACTCCGTCTTCTGGAGAAGGGAAAACACAGAATTGTGTATGTATGGGAAAAAGCAGGAACTAGTCTGGATTAATCATCTGGCTCAGCATGACGCTGACAAGAGCCCATGCGGTAATGCAGTCATCCCAGTCCTCATTTCCTTGCACTGGATTCTTGTGTAGTTCCTCACAGCTCAAAATATGACAGTTGTTATCCTCTTAGAAGGAAAGCTGGGGCATGTTTATACCACTGAGTGATATAGATGTGTAATACTGGCAGCCTGCAGTGAATGAAGAATCAGATGGGTTGCTGAGAATTCCATCCTGAGTCTTTATAAGAGTCTCTAACTCAGTACTAATGGGAGCAGTGTGCTCACACAGACCTCCCAGGCTCTCCGTTTCCCTCGCTTTGCTATTATGAATTTTAAAGGCTGCAATGTCTCTCTTTCCACTCTATTCTCACATACACTGACTACACAGGCCTTGCTAGCATCCTCACTGGCTACCTAGCAGATTCAGACTGAACAAGAAAAAGGAATTCTAATGGGATATTACAAGTAGACAAGAGTAGGCAAAGTTCAAATTGGATGTCACCAAAAGATAAGGCGTGTGGTTGTGAGCAGAGAGCAAACTAATGGCTGTTCCCTAGGGAGATTAGCATGGGAAAGAATGGAAGCACCTGAGATACATGGAGGGGGAAATAGAAGTGTAAGGAACTGAAAAGAGAAAGAAAAATAGAGAGAGGAATAGAGGACAAGGAAGTAAAAACAGAAAGCCAGAAGCCAGAAAGAAGGACAAAGTTGGGGAAGGAAGTAAAGAAGAGCTTTCCCGAAAGAAATAAAGATCAATAGGGGAATAGGAGGAAGATGAGAGCCAAGAGTGGGCGGGGGCTGAAGGGGAAAGGATTTAGATGTAATTTGGGGAGGATTTATCTCTTTGCCCCTCAACAAAATAAATATTCTTTTGTAACAGAAAAATGTAGATTCAGTGCTATAGGTTTTCAGGGCTCAGACTCCTTCCTCTGTTGTTGTATACTGTTTCGGAAAACTAATAATTTTATTTTAGCCTTCTGTAAATGTGGTGTTCTGCTACATTAGTAAATACTGTGATTGCTCACACAACTCATGACAGCCATTTTGTAAATGACAGTGCCTCACACAACATTTTGTGATGGTGAACACTTCAAATGAGCCTGTGAATCCGAAATTGAGGATCACAACTTTAAAGAGCATAAAATTACAGAGCTTTACAGAATCTGTAAAATAGCGCTAGTAGGCAGTATAATGGATTTGATAGTGAGAGGTGTCCCTGCTTCATGCACAGAAGTGTCCACCCCATAAACCTAGTCCTGTTCAATGAGATCATACATACTGTCCCCACTTTCCAATTTCAACTACACACACACTACTGTATCCTACCTTTCCAGAATCCTCAACTATATCAAGAGTGTCTCTAACTTGAACATAGTTGTACATTTGTTACCTGAAGGTGGGAGAGCTAAGAAGAAAACCTGCAACCCTCTTTCTTTTCCTCTCCAAATATTGACTACAATACCCAAATGTAAATATATGGCAATACAAAGATATGTGGGAACATCAATTCAGCACCCCTAAGCAATTAGGAGACCTCTGAATTCTCTTTTGAACTGTAAAACTATAATGTCTTTCCTGGAAGGGGCTGGGCTTAGCACAGCAGGATAAACCACTGTGCTATAGTAAAATCCTGTCAATCAGAAGGTCAACAGTTTGAGCCCAGGTCGGTGTTGAGCACCTGCTGTTAGCCCCAGCTCAGCTGCCCACCCAGCAGGTCGAAAGCAGAAATGCGAGTAGATACAATAGGTACTGCTTTTAGTAGGGAGGTAATAAAGGACACTGATTGGAAGAAAACTCCTCGGCATCGAAGATGGAGCAACAGCACCCCCACCACCAGCCCCCCATGGCAGGAGTCAAGAACAGCCTCCAAGATGCCGGAAATAAGATGGGAAAAACTACCTTTACCTCTGTCCTGTTATTGTGTAATTAGCATTGAATGTTTACTGTATGTGTGTTCTGTAAAAGCTGTTCTGACTCCCCTTTGAGGTGAGAATGGCAGAGTATAAATACTGTAAATAAATAAATAAAATATTGAACAGTACAAATGCTAAACTAAAACTCTATTAATATTGCCTTTGCTGCCCTAACTGTAGTTTGGTTTACCCAAATTTTGTTAAGGCCACCATCAAAGAGAGAGAATTACATTGCTCTTAAGCTGCCAAAGAAAACCCTTATCTGTTTATTCAAGTTGCTTGATTTGTGATGTCATCAAGAGAGTGGCCTCAATTGTATGAGGCAGAAATAAGTTTTATTTATACATGTTGCTATTTAATTGAAGGCTGATAACATGGAAGGACAATAGTTTATATAGAAGTCATTTTCCTTTTAGAAAGGTGTTAAAACGTTCTGTTCTTACCTTGCAGTTCTTCTAGAAACAAACATAAATAGTGTGTTTTTGGTGGGGGGGGGGTTATTGATGCTCAAGAGCCACACTGACTTCCTTTCATGCAAGGTTTCTGATAAGAATCACTTCCAGTGATAAGAAATGAAAGACAAACATCTGCCTTGGCTCTTTCAATAACAAGAGGGGAGGAGAGGATGGAAAGAAAAACATTCATTTTGCTTTCAGAGGAACATTTGCCACAAGAAGGAAAAACAATGCTTTTTTGGGAGCCACTGTAATTAAGGATTTCTCAGAAGAACTATTGAATAGCAGTAGATTTACAACAGTACATACATATAAACTCATCAAGGAAGAGAACCACAGTCTCATACTTGTGAAACTCACTGATATACACAAGAGAGAATTTCAAACGAACATTAGGAAATAGGTTAGTGTGCATATTATGTCTCAGATTATTACAGTCAAAATCCCATCTTGGCATGAATAAGATGCTGATATGTTGGTTTACTTTTATATAGCAGGTTTAATATAATTGAATAAATCTCCATTTATTTTATCTTAGAATAAAGCATAACCAAGGAGAAAACCTGGTAAAACTCAGGAATTATAAAAAGATAAAGCAGTGAGCAGAACGGCTGGTTTATCAGCATGTTTATCAGTATCAATCCCATTTATCCTGGGAATTTCTATACTATAGTTTCTAATTACGTTTTGTAACTGAGAGTTACCACAAATTAATATATGTTGCTCTTTGGTGCCTTTATTGCTGCATTGTACTGAAAAAGTTGAGAATTCCCAACTAAGCCAAACCACAGTTCTCAAAAGCCATCATTGTTGTTTTTAAAGGCCATATAATTATACTGCCAAGTTGATGCAAGGGGAAGCAATGATATACTTTAAATTAACATTTACAAAATATGAAGAAATATGCCAATCTGTTCTCAATTCCATTTTGACTTTTATATTGTTTTTTAAAAGATGTTTTAAAGGATCATTATATTCATAAGTATATTTTCAGATAATACATGCTTGAAAAATGCCTCTTTAACCCAAAGCAACAACTTTCCTTCAAAATGATTGATTCCTTCCAGAACATCAGCATGAGAATGTCACTGAATTCCTTTAAAAGTACATACCAGAATTTGTAATTTTCTTCATAAATAAAATGGAAAGGATATATGAGTTAAAAAAATATTGTAGGAGAATATGAATGTGAAAGATTTTTCTATCCCAAATGAAAGATGATTCACGAGCCTTTCTCAGTTTGAAATCAGGTTGCTACATTATCTCTTTAGTAGGCTTCAAGCAGAACTATTTCATTGCAACAGTTAAATTTAGACATGTGCATTTTTTTATATTTTGTAAGTCAGAAGGAAATGCATTAAATTTGTATATCTGAAGTGATATCTGATGTGTTTGCATGGCCCACGCCAAAAACATTAGAATTGAAACTTGCCCAATACATTTTTGTTTATATTTTGTAAATCTTGGAAGGCTTCCTCCCAAAGTCAGCTTGATCTTCATTTTCATGGCAGGCAAGCAGGCAAAGCAAAATGAACAACTCTGCCATTCCTCTGTAAATTAATGGCCTCTTGCCATTAGGGGCAGGAAAGGAGAGAGCAGAGTTTGCTGGGAAAAGCACAGAACTCTGGGAAATGTCGTTTGGAAAGGGAGGAGCCCTATGCCAGAGAATTCAAAAGGCCCTGCCCTAACTTAAATTTTCCAGAATGCATCAGCATCAGAAAGCACCAATCAGGATAGGGGAGAGAGAGAGAGAGAGAGCCCCCCCCCCCCCCCGTAGCCAGCCAGCCAGCCAACCAGAGTTCCAATAAATGCGGGAGGGGCACCGTGCTATAACACATTTTGCTATAGTATTGTTGAGGCTCCTCCAATTTTTGGAGTAGAACAACTAATTTCACTGTAAGGACTACACCATTAAACAGGAAATAACACTTTCAAACTAGGAACAGATTTTATTTATTATTATGTTATTCAGAGGCTGGATGGCCATCTGTCAGGTTTGTTCCTGGATTATAAATGTCAATTCCTAATTGGTTCTATCATAGAAACATGGGGAAAGTTTACTAAACTGCAAAAACTTTTGTCTTTGTGAGAGGGACACCATGCTATAGCATATTTTGCTATAGTATTGTTGAGCCTCCACCAATTTAACATAGTTTGTGCCACTATTTTCAATGTAAGGACTACTCTATTAAACAGGAGATAATACTTTCAAGCTAGGAATGGATTTTCTTTATTACTGATTATTGATTATTATTGATGTTTATTGATTATTATTATTTATAAACACTTTGAAAATTCCCCAAAACTCAGTGGATACATAAAACATTCTGAAATTTGGTGGGCTAACAGTGGTAAATGTGTTCTACCATTGTAGCAATTTGATCTCCAATAGCTTTAAAAATGATAGAGAAACGAGCCCCTGAAGTTTCCCCAATTATAGTAATTTAATTATGCACAATTACTATAATGAATTAGTAACATTACAGTAATTAAATTTTAAGTAACTACACTTTAGAAACACTTTAGAAATAAAGTGCCAGCACACACAACCCTCTTTTTGTAATTACTTTTGTAACATTTTTTATCTATCGCACATTCTCTATTAAATATGAAGTGACCAGTGCACAGAACATTTATCTATCACCTTTCTCCCAAAGGCATCATCTTAAGCTTTGTCACACTGCTCCCATATGAATATTTTCACTGTACCTTTTAGAATTGTTTACAAATGTCTATATAGGAGATGGACTGAGCACTGATGAAGACCTTACTTGGGTGAATGATCCATCCTCACCGCACTCTGGAATGAAGACTGCTTCTTGTGGCTTCTTTGCTTGATCCAATGCCTGAGCCCTTTCTAATCTGCATTTACTTTGACCGGCATCTGGAATAAGTGAGAAAAAACCTAATGAAATTTAAAAAATAAAAGCAATGGGGAAAAATCTTACCAATGTCTGTGAAAATGTCTATAGGGAAACCCTTCCAAGTGTTATTTTCTTATAACATATTATTTGTACACACAATAATTCCTTTTCCCTGATAAAGTAACCAAAACCAAGGGGGTTATTCTCCATTGAGGTGTTACACTTCAGGACTGTGTAGCTCCATTAGTAAAAACAAAAATAGAAATGTTAAAAAAAATAAATTCCACTTGTACCAAGAATGCTAATTTTATGACAAACAAATTATACATCTGAATAAGTGGACTTAGTTTATGTATGTTTCTGCAACCAACGTTGTTCTCTCAGTGACTTTCTAAGCTGCTACAAGTTCTCTTTGCATAAAAATTATACATAATACTTTTTGTTTTCCTAATGTAGCAAAATAACATTCAATTTGTAATGGCATCGAAGACAACATTTTTTCCATTTGTTCAAACATCTCTTCCCCCTTCCCCACAAAAAAGTAAAATATTTTCCCCATAACTTGCACATTTCCAGAATTTTACATCTCTAAGCACAATACAACAATTATTATGAGGCCCATATCTCTAAAGGCATGAGGGAAATTCTCCATGGTTTATATGAACATAATAAAGTGATCTACTGAAGAAGGAAAATACTTTGCAATGCTACTGTCCTCGCCTCCTCTTACATATTACCAATATTCTCAGCCTGTCACTTGCTTTGTATTTGATAAACGTTTCTAAATGAAGCATGCAAATTGTACAACCCTCCAAATCTTGTCAAACTGTATCTCCTAACAACTAAGGCTAATTTGGTAGGTGTGCTAGGTGTTCAATAACATTCAGTGGGCTACACAATTCTTCTAAAGTAAGAGTTTGTATTTCTAAAACACTTACCTTGTTCAATGCCAGCAGCAGCTTGTTCGTTCAAAAAATACATGGCATATTCCTATCCCAAAGGAGCCACCGTTCTTTCCCTTACCTTTGCATCGGCCTCGATGAGCTATGCTCAGGTTTGCATCCCTGCATTTTGCTCTCTGATAATCACAGGTTGACTCATACGTCCTGCCATCCGAGGCACAGAGGGGCTTGGTTGGAGATCTGGAGCAGTGGAGGTTGCACTGGGGATCTCTGTCACGATCACTTATTAAAAACTAAAGACAGTGAGAAAAGGAAAACACTGGATTTTAGTCACTATCCATAGAATTTTAAAGAGATAAGATTTCTATTGACAATATTTCTATTTAACCCAGTGGTGCAGTGGGTTAAACCACTGAACTGCTGAACCTGCTGACTGAATGTACTATAATGTGCAATGTTGCAGCGGGTTGAACAGTAGCAGCAGCAATTGGGAATAAGTCTCAATGTGATATGTATGACAATGGACTGTCCCAGACACTGATTTTAGACCGCTGTGATTTTAATCAAATGTTTTAATGTAATGTATTTTAATGAACTGTTTTAAATATGTTTATGAGTGTGGTTAGCACTCAAATGAGTACATGTTGTGAAGTCGCCCTGAGTCCTCACCCCCCACCCACAGGGGTGAGAAGGACGGGGTACGAATGTACGAAATAAATATATAAATAAATAATAAACTGCTAAGCTGCAGAACTTAGGTTGGCGGAAGGTCTGTGGTTCGAATCTGTGGGACAGTGCAAGCTCCCGCTGTTAGCCCCAGCTTCTGCCAACCTAGTAGTTCGAAAACATGCAAATGTGAGTAGATCAATAGGTACCGCTTTGTTGGGAAGGTAACCGTGCTCCATTCAGTCATGCCGCCACATGACCTTGGAGGTGTCTACGGAAAATGCCAGCTCTTCAGCTTAAAAATGGAGGTGAGCACCACCTCCCAAAGTCGGACTCAACTAGACTTAATTGTCAAGGGGAAATCTTTACCATTTATTTACAATATTTTTGCCTCTGAGCTAATGTTTTTATATAATGTCATCCCTTTCTAAAGCTCAACAACTTTTGATCCACACATAACCACTGAAAAAGTAAGGTATTCT